CATTAGCACAGGAAAGACAGAGGCTTTCCCAGTCTAAGTCTGTTTACCCCACATCCCTTTGTCTCTACTCTGTTTACTCATGTAAATTTTGTGCTAGGTGGCCCTCTCAGGGGAGATCAAAGGGAAATTACCTGTTAATAGTGTTTACTCTGGGCCTCCCCGGAAACTAAAGCTTTTATCAGTCATAAAACCATTCCTGTAACCATGTTAATTATCCACAAGTGTGTTAACTCAGAACCTCTGTTGTAAAATCTGACTGAATACATGTAACAACGGAAAGGGTGTCCGGGTGGACTGGTTGCATTTTGCCCTCTAAAAGCAGCCAACGGCCATCCCTAACCCACTTGAATCACTGTAATGATGTAAGTGCATTCATTCATCCGTCACTGAGTCAGGGTCTGCAGGCCAGTTTTCCGCAGGTGGTGGTCAGCATCTCAAGAGCTACCAGAGGCCCCAGCCCTGGTCAATATCCAATTGCTGCTGGTGGCCCTGCTCACAGGCTTCGCATCCAGAGACTGCGAACCATCTGGCCACAGATCTGGGTCAGGCTTCACGTAATGAGCCCCTGCTCTTCTAGCAGCCACGGGAACTCACGCACAGTTCCGCAGAAGAGGCGCTAGGGTGCAGTGAGGAAAAGGCTCTATCCTCTCCTTCACAGCCTTCCTGGTTGACAGGGCCTCTGGCTCCTTCCAGAGCTCAGTGAAATTGGTATAAAGTTTTATAGGGAAAATCTCTACCTTCCTTGCCTGAATCAGGAAAAGGAAACTGCTGTGGCTCGGGGCTAAGGCTGCAGCTCTCAGGCTGCCACAGCCATGGGAAAAGACCTAATTACAGAGATTCCTGTTTTACAACAAGTACACAGCCCCACAGCAGCCTCACTGCTGATGCTTGCCGTTTCTGCCAGAGAAAAAGAGATGGTTAAAGACGAAAAGAAGCCTCTGATTCCAAACAAAGTGCTGACTCAGAGAGACCCCTGGCAGCTGCTATTCCTGCAGACTTGCAAGGTTGTGAGCGCTGTCACGGTGAATCCAGGCTTCTCCTTCACAAGAAAGGCAAACTTGGGCCAGGCACGCTGGTGCATGCCTGTAATCCCAGCACTTTGGGAGGCTGAGGTGGAAGGACTGTTTGAGCCCAGGAGTTCCAGACCAGCCTGGGCAACATGGCAAAAACCCATCTCTACAAAAAATTTAAAAATTAGCCAGGCATGGTGGTATGTGCCAATGGCCACCTGTAGTCTCAGCTACTCAGAAGCCTGAGACAGGAGGATCAACCGAGCCTGGTAAGTCAAGGCTGCAGTGAGCTGAGATTGTGCCACTGCACCCCAGCCTGGGCAACAGAGCAAGACACTGTCTTGGAAAAAAAGAAGACGACAAACTTAAATGACAGAAGAAACTCAGAAACGAAGGGTTATCTTTATTATGGTCAAAGTACCTTCCAAAAGCAGAAGCATCTTCTCAGTCCAGTGTGTTTTCACAGTGCTCTGTTCTACGCTAAGGAGTGACAATTCTCTCTATTCCTGACTCAATGGTGGCATCATATACTATATTTATTGTGAGCATGACTTTGGTTTCTTACAAAAACTGTATCTTACTGAAAACTATTTTTTGTAATAAAACCCCAAAATAAACATTTTACACAACTATAAAAAGACATGAGAAAAAAAGAGAAACACTTATTTAGCAGTTGCAATACTAACCATTTTTCATATATTATGTCATTTAATCCTCAAAATTACTGGCCGGGAACAGTGGCTCACACCTGTAATCCCAGAACTTTAGGAGGCCAAGGCGGGTGGATCACCTGAGGTCAGGAGATTGAGACCAGCCTGGCCAACATGGTGAAACTTGTCTCTACAAAAACACAAAAATTAGCTGGGCATGATGGTGGGCGCCTGTAATCCCAGCTACTCAGGAGGCTGAGGCAGGAGAATTGCTTGAACCTGGGAGGCGGAGGTTGCAGTGAGTGAGATCGTGCCATTGCACTCCAGCCTGGGTGACAGAGTGAGACTCTATCTCAAAAAAAAAAAATTGTAATAACTCCATTATACAGATGAGGAAACAGGCTTAGAGAAGTAAGTTGCTCATGCTGCTAGTAAGTACAGAATCCAAATTTATATCCAGAGTCATCTGGTACCAGTTTCTGTTTTTCCTATATTGCCTCTAAGTCATTAGAACAGAAAGAAATGCCTCAGTAAGACTCAAAGGAGATACATTTGGATCATAACTGTATTAATCAGGCACTACGCTGATTCCCGAGATGAGCCATTGTGTAATTATATATGCCAGAATCATGTATTGAGTCCTTACAGCTTTATTCTAAGGCCACAGGAATCTCCCTGACCCCAGCCCACCGTATCATCCATTGCAGACCTTGAGCTGCATGGTGGTCTTGGGGCCCTCTGAGGTAGGGTCACAGCGACAGTTTCCAGGAACCCAAGGACAGACCCCATTCTGCCTTTGTCTTGCACAAGTCTAGACCCACAGTGGGAACTGTGAGACTGTGCCTTCAGGAGGCTGGCTAGGTTCTCCCACCAGGGTCAATGGTGTCTACCTGGCCACTTGCGGAGCAGCGAGACCACTGGTCTCACAGAATAGACCACAAGGACTTGGATACTTTTGTGCTGGGCACCTTTTATGTTCCAGTCTCTGATCTAAGCAGTGGCAATACAGACAGAAAGAAAAAAGTGGACCCTGTATGCAAGGTTCTTTGAACTGACTGTGCCATGGTGACTCTTGTGACCCACTCATACACCTCCAGATGGCCTCCAGCAGCCAGAAAGTCTGAAGTAACAGGGAAACCATAAAAGGAGACGAATGGCTAGCTCCAGCAGTACCTGATGAACCGACCTTGCAACATTCTGCCATTTTTCCTACCTCAACCGTTCCTGCCTCAACTGATAAGCCAACCTTGTGACACTGGACCTTGGACCTTTTGACACCCCTTCCCCGGGCAACACCCCACTAGCTTGCAAAAAACACCCTGAACTGTAACTTCTGTAACTTTCCACTGTCTACCCCAAACCTATAAAACCAACTCCTATCCCTCCACCCTCAGCTGACTCTCTTTTTGGACTCAGCCCGCCTGCACCCAGGTGAATAAACAGGCTTGTTGCTCACACAAAGCCTGTTTGTGGGGGTCTCTTCATTCAGAGCATGCTTAACTGTATTTATGGAGCTTTCCGTGACTATGTGAGTAGTGACTAATGTGGAGGAAAGACCAGAGAATCGCCCCAGAACGTCGCGGACTGTGTAGGATGTGCCCACGCAGGAGGCAATGCTCGGATGGGGAGAAGTATCCCGTGATAACTGAGTTCACATCTCCTTCAGATCAGTGGGATGAGGAGCTTGGAGCAGATTAAATGTTATTTGGAGAAAAGAGAGAGATGTGACTTTTTTTTTTTTACATTCCATCTTGTAGAATAAAATTCACACCAACTACATATTCTCTCTGTGATGTAACTAAGGTGGCTCTGTTGTTTTTTTCAGAACAGATGGAAAAGTTGAAAAGAGTCACTGCCACTTTATCCCTCCATGACATATACTAAGGACATCTCATGTTACTACTTCATTTTTCTAAGTCTGGTCTAACTACAATTTAGAGTTTGGAAGAGTCTAAAACTCTCTGCCTAAGATATTATCTTCATTTAACTAGTTTAAGTAATTAAAGTCATGTCACCCTTGACTAAGCATTTCAGAAAGAACAGTATTCCAGGGTTGTGTCTAGGCTCAAAAATTGGCTCAACTTTTATTTATAACGACCCTCTTTATTCCCAATCAAATGCATGCTCTCCTTAAATGAGCTTAAGAATAAAAGACAATTCTCCCAAAGAACAAGCAACCTCAGCAACACTCGGGAACCCTTAGAACTAAGACCTTCAGATTTCAGTTAGAATGGCGATCATTAAAGAATCTGGAGACAACAGACACTGGAGAGGATGTGGAGAAATGGGAACACTTTTACACTGTTGGTGGGAGTGTAAATTAGTTCAACTATTGTGGAAGACAGTGTGGCAATTCCTCAAGGATCTAGAAATAGAAATTCCATTTGACCCAGCAATCCCATTACTGGGTATATACCCAAAGGATTATAAATCATTCTATTATAAAGATACATGCACACGTATGTTCACTGCGGCACTGTTTACAATAGCAAAGACCTGGAACCAACCCAAATGCCCATCAATGATAGACCAGACAAAGAAAATGTGGCACATATACACCATGGAATACTACACAGTCATAAAAAATGATTAGTTAGTGTCCTTTGTAGGGACATGGATGAATCTGAAAACCATCATTCTCAGCAAACTGACACAAGAACAGAAAACCAAACACCGCATGTTCTCACTCATAGGCAGGTGTTGAACAGTGAGAACACATGGACACAGGGAGGGGAGCATCACACACTGGGGTCTGTTGTGGGGGCTAGGGGAGGGACAGCATGGGGTTGGGAGGGTGGGGAGGGATATCATGGGGAGAAATGCCAGATATAGGTGATCAGGGGATGGAGGCAGCAAACCACCTTGCTATGTATGTACCTATGCAACAATTCTGCATGATCTGCACATGTACCCCAGAACCTAAAGTACAATTGAAAAAAAAAAACAAAAAAAAAAAAAAAAGAAAAGAAAAACTAAGATCTTCTTAAGGCCGCATCTTGGAAGAACATTCAACAGGAACATTGGAAGAACATCATGGTGGCAGCTGATGTTGGTAGTGATCTCTTTTTCTTTCCTCAAAATCTTTTCAGCTCTGTTATTTACAACCACAAAGAAATGTACTCCTCTGGGAAAGATCAGATTGCATCCAACAGCAAAATAAATAATATCTATGAGATCCCACCCTCTTCCAGCAGGACAGGCCTTAGCCTGTTCTAGTCCCAGCTGGGGTCTAAGGGATGAGTGAGACTTGGGTACAATATTCCTCAAGGTTCAAGAGGCTGGGCCCTCCCACCAAGAACCCCCATCAAAATCTGGAAATGCCAACGAATGCGCCCCTTACCTGAAAGAATGGCAAATTGTCTGTGAAGCTGTTCTATTATCTCCACTGCCATCAAGGGCCTGACCTCCTGCTGTAGAATTTCATCTGCACAAATGAAATACAAAGTGGGTCAAAGACGTGCAAATTACAAACAGAAATTAAAAAGAAACAAAGGCAGGTTCTACTTCTAGGGACTTATCAAGAGATGGTTCTGGCACATCATTCTCTTGAGAACTTGATTCCTGGGATTCGGGGCTGTATCTGGGTTTGTGTGCTTTGGAGCTTATGAGTCTGAACATGGAACACACTTCTGGAGCCCCTCCCTATACAAGGAAGGAATCCTGAAGTTTAAGCTTCATATTAAACCTGCTGGATGAACTCATTACGAAGGCAGGTATTTGCCTTTACCACTGGGTCTGCAGAAGGACATTTTAAACACCAACAACGTAAGTTACTAGAGCTCCTCTCAAAACAGGTCATAAAATCAATCTGGGATTCATGAGGGTTCTTTAATTTTTATTTTCCTCCCTACCTCACTTCCTTCCCCACCCCTTATCTCCATTCCTTTTTTTCCCCCTTCCAGAATACTCTAAGGGGTCTCTTCCCACTGCTAAATGTATATAAAGAGGCAATTTTTCATCTTGCTATTTAAAGATTCTCCTTACTGAAAAAGAAGTTATAGGTTTTCCAACTCAAAAATCCAGTCCTTTAAGGCACAAATCTACAAAGGTCCTCCTAGAAAGTGACTTACAAGCCCTGTGTTTCACCCTCATATCCATCTGGGGAAGGGGATTAGAGAGAGGGGAAGAGTGACTGCAATCCTTCAACCTGGGCTGAAGAGAGGAAGGCATTTTCATGCCTCTCTGCCTAAGATATTATCTTCATTTAACTATTACCCAGGGAGTCTTAAATAATACACTGGTGGCTGGGTACGGCCCATGCCTGTCATTCCAGTACTTTGGGAGGCTGAGGCAGGAGGACTGCTTGAGGCCAGAAGTTCGAGATCAGCCTGGTCAACAGAGTAAGATCTTGTCTCCACAGAAAATTGAAATAGCCAGGCATGGTGGTATATGCCTGCGGTCCCAACTACTTGGGAGGCTGAGGCAGGAGGATCTCTTGAGCCTAGGAGTTTGAGGCTGCAGTGAGCCATGATTGCGCCACTGCACTCCAGCCTGGGCAACAGATGGAGACCCTGTCTCAAAAAAAAAAAAAAAAAAAAAAAACGAAAACAAAAAACCAAACAACAATAAAAAATGAATGCTCTGGTTATTGTTTCTACAGGAGTTAAACATCTGGTTAGATGAAGGCATGAACCAAACAACCCGTGCTCGGATGCTAGGTGGGAATTTCCTGCTGACTCGGAGTGGGATCATGGTGACATTATGATATTCCAGTGTTGACCAATCAGAAGGTACTATTTCGGAAGGCCCTCCTAGAGCCTTGGTTTCTGCTCTCAGCTTTGGTGTGGAGGTTAGAGGAGATCATGCATATGGAGATGTACACAGAGGGTGCTCAGCAACTGCTAGTTACATCCCTTGCTCTGAACAGACAGGCCTTTCCCAAATTTGCTTTCTGAAAGTCTTGTAAGGGGTGGACCAAGTGCCAGCTGAAGTCCCAAGACCACCTTCAATGAATTCTGCCGTTGTTTTGGGTAAAAGGGATAAATCCAGACCAGAGCTTCTTCCTCCCAATACTGCTTCCACCCTGAACTTACTAAAAGTTCAAAGAACTCCTGCATCACGGTTAATTCAGCGGATGCAACAGTGGCACGGTAGTCATATTTTATAGAAAAGGGGGCCTTCTCTGTTAGAAACACAAATTAAAGCATTTAACAGTGAAATGATATGAAGTCTGAGATCTGCTTAAAAGCACTCCAGCACTCCCCTCTGCTAAAAGTATGCGTGGGGTGGAAGTTGGGGGCGGACGAAACATGGCTGACAAAATGTGGGTAATTGTTGAAGCTGGCTGATGGGTCCACAGGGGTTTCTTATGAAATTCTTTTGCTACACGTCAAATTTTCTGTAATAAAATGTAAAATACAAGCAGACAACAACATAGAGAATTTCAGCGGAAACAGAAGTTATGTAATAACAGTTTTTCAGAGTACAATGTCCTAGCTATTATTTTTTCACACCTGAGCATTAAAAGAAATTTTTATTTTTAGATATAGGATCTTGCTCTGTCACCCAGACTAGAGTGTAGTGGCACAATCATAGCTCACTGCAGCCTTGAATTCCTGTGCCCAAGCAATCCTGCCTTGGGCTCCCAAACTACTAGAATTAGAGGCGCAAGCCACCACCCCTGGCCAAGCGAGCATATTTAAGAGATGATGGACCCAGATAAAAACAAAAATCGTAAGGTGTAATTTATTGTTCTTATACATCAATATTTGATGTGTGCTTTAAACATCTTAAAGATGTAAGATCTGAAAGGGGAACAGAAATTACCCTCTTCAAATGACAACATGGAAATCCAGAGATCCTGAATTTGCCTGTGGTTACACAACAAATGAACTGTACAGCCCAGATCCCCGACTCTAGGAGAGCAAGCCTCAGCCACACATGACCATTCCCAGACCCTTGGCCTGGAGTTGCAACGGCTCCTGCCACCCTGGAAGGCTCGCTAGAGCCATGGGAATCTGAGGTCTGCCCAGCTCCCCCAACCCCCAACAGAGACCTTTCTCACCAGCGTCCTGTGGCTATCAAATGAACAGGACTAAAATTCACGCGTTGTTTTTCTAAGAATAGCAATGTGCTGGCTTGCTTTTAGCCCAGGTTTTGCTGAGAGTGCTTGGCCTCCAGCCAGGAAGTGACATGGTTACCCTTGAATTCTTCCTAGCAAAGGAGCCACGTGACCCAGCCTGGCCAGCTGTAACAGATCATGAGGCTTCCTCGGACTCATCCTCTGACTCAGCGTGGAGATGACTGCAGATACACCCAGCCTTCAGTTGCCTGACACTGTGGGCCTGTTGGAATAGGGCATGCTCAGTTTTGCTCCCAACGAAGCACTATACCAAAAGAGACACAAAGACCACCCTGCAGCTGGCAGGCCCTGCCTCCCACTCCTGCAGAGTGGGAAGGGGAGGAAGCGCAGGTCTCTGGTCCTAAAGGAACACCTCCACTGCAATAGGAAAGGGCCTGCTTCAGATTCAGGCAGCCTTGCATGCAAAGGCCCTTTCTGCCACCTTCTAGATGGGCGATCAGACAAGGACACTTTGAGTTTCAGTGTTTTTAGCAGTAAAAGGGTTTTTCCTTCTCCCAGGAACAGGTGAGCAGAACCGTGAGCCACCAAGGCACTGGTGCATGTGACACATCTCCCTGGCCTCACAGAGAGGTCGGTGGAGGCTTCCTGCTTGTTCTTTGCCATTTCTGGCATACATAGATTAGGGGGAAACTTGTCTCTTTGTTACCCACATAAGGCAAAGTAAAGTGATAATTCAACTTCAACACAATTTCTATCCCGGGCAAAGTTAGAAATATACTAGGGAAAAACTTGTCTCTTTTCTATCCTTGGTAAGTACACAGAAGTGTGACTCTATTTTACCCCGGGCCCACAATTCCCGAAATACAGACGGTATCAAAGGCCACACACAGTCTACAGCCTCTTGGGCAAGGAAATAATAGTCTGGCAAGTCCCATGGGAATTCCACGACAGGCAGCAAGCAATATCCCTGTGCTGCCCACTTCCCTGTCAGAGAGCAGGACCTGGGCTGATGATGGGGGCCAACCTCCTTACAGCAGAGGGTGGGAAACAGGGCGGATGATGTCTCAACGCTGTCTGACTGCAGCGACCAGTAAGGGATAAAGGGCAGTGAAATCCTCAGTCTCCCACTCTTGCTGTTCTGAGATTTCTGTCACACTGTGATTTTAAAGATTCAAGTATTTAAAGAGGGGGAAAGAAAAGAACTAGCTAAATAAATACCCACGTTAAGGGGGTAAAGGGATGGTCTGGAGCAGGGGACAGCAGCCTGAGTTTGGCAGACCTTGTGACATCACTACTTTGCCCAGAGAACAAGGGGAAAGAAAGAACAGAAGGGTCTGCCAGTCAATCAAACCAGATCTCACCAACTGAGTTTGCAACAACGTCTAACAAGCCACGAACCAGGATGTCCGCTCTCAGGCGCTGTGTAACAGAACTCTAACCATTAATAACATGAATGGGATACCAGCTGTGAGCTGGACGCCAACTTTGCATGTCACAGATTAACCGGTTGCATTAGTTACACCAGGAAAGGAAAGGAAAGTGCCCTAACACGCAAATGAACCTCCTCCAGCCCGCCCCACCCTCCCACCTCCACAGCTAGACTAGACTTGACCACTGAGGAAACTCTGGACCAGAGGCTCAGAGGCACCAGTTGCTGGGCTGGTACAGGTCAGCATGTGGTATGGTCAATTCCATATCACATATTTTATATGTGTGACCTCGTTTAATCCTCAAAACAACTCTAAGGGTGATATTGAACTAGCTCGCACCACTGCTGGTACAATAAGCCCCCCCATGGGGCATAATGCATTTCACTGCTGTTATTGGCCAGGTCAGAAATAACACAAACATATTTCCTTCCTTTACTGGGTCCTGTGCTATAGCAATGTTTAACCTAACCTGCCCCATAATAATGACTTTTGTCGGCCAGTCGTGGTGGCTCACGTCTGTAATCCCAGCACTTGGGGAGGCCAAGGCAGGTAGATCACAAGGTCAGGAGTTCAAGACCAGCCTGGCCAAGATGCTGAAACCACATCTCTACTAAAAACACGAAAATTAGCTGGGCGTGGTGGTGGGCACCTGTAATCTCTACTCGGGAGGCTGAGGCAGGAGAATCTCCTAAACCCAGGAGGCAGAGGTTGCAGTGAGCCGAGATCGCACCACTGCACTTCAGCCTGGGCAACAGAGTGAGACTCCATCTTAAAATAAACAATGACTTTTGTCTTGTCCATAAACAAATAATGAATTAAAGGCTTTTAAAAGCAGACAGAATAATTGTTTAGAAGGAATTTTAAAGGTTTTTAAAATCAAAACACTAGAAAATGTCCAACTTTCCAGTTGTCAACTAATAAAACTTAAACAGCAACAGAATATCTCATTTCATCCATAAAATGATTGAGATT